AGATAATATAATTTCACTTACCTGGCCTATCACTTGAAGCAAACATCCATCCCTTCTTAAAAGTCTGTGTTAAAAGAGAGCTGCAGCCTATATCCAGCTTAGGCGTGTCCTCCCTTTATTTTTTATTTGTATGACAGCTTGGTAAATCTGTTGGCGATCAAATATTCAATAACGCTACTCATCATAAGTACTTGGTACATTATCAATGCAGTGGGAGACGTTCACACTAATATCACGTAATTTACGTCTCTATGATGATTGGTTGATACATCAGAAGGGAGGCTAGCCTCCCTTGCAAGGTTACTTTTCTCAACAATCCTCAGCGCTGAAAGTGAACATTCGATGGTGATTGGCTATTTTTTTTTTACCAACGGAGGCACGAGAGCTGAAATGAAATGAATTGTGAATTTTATTAACATTAAATCGTTCTCCTTCCATTTTCACCTCAAAATTTTGGGGAAGCTGTGCTTCCCCTGCCTCCCCCGACCAGCCGCCACTGGCATGGGGGTCAGATTTGAACGTTATAAACAAATGCATCGTCTTTTGTCAGAGTTAAGAGGGTTAATGGTCCGTCGCAGAAGGGCACGACAGAGCGGCGCTGATGTCTTAAGAGGGACAACAAGAAAGCCTTCTTGCTAGCTTTGACTCGTGAAACTCAAAGATCAGGCAGATGGATATTGTAATGTCATGCCAGATTCAGACCCCTACTTGGTATCCTGGACCTTTACCTTTGTGTTTGCAGCCCAAACTAAGCACCTCATCGTCATCCCAAACCTGGAAAAAAATATAATAAGCGGCACATCTGTTTTCAAAATTGATAATAACAAGAATTTTTTCTTGAGCAGCAAATCAGCATAATGATTTCTGAAGGATCATGTGACACTGAATACTGGAGTAATGATGCTGAAAATTCAGCTTTGCTATCACAGAAATAAATAACATGTTAAAATATATTAAAATAGAAAACAGCTATTTTGTAATAATATTTCAAAATATTACTGTTTTTACTCTATTTATGATCAAATGCAGCCTGGATGAGCATATTAGACTTCTTTTGAAAACATACTTTTGAATGGTAGTGTATCATTTAAAATTGTCCAAGAAAGGCAGAGACTTTTGTGCCTCTTTGTTCACTCTCTGAAAGAATCAGCATCTTGAGTCTAATTGGTTAAGGGTCTTACCATGCCCACATTCCTTGAGATTTTACTTGCCTTGTATGTGGCCCCCCTTTTCAACCGAACCATGTATATCTGCTGCCTGAGACAAATGTGTCCCATTTTGGCATGACAGCCGTCAATAGCATCATTGTGTGGGGATGAGAGGGAGTGTAATCTTTGCCTTGTGGCTCCAGATCCCAAGAAGGACTTTACCGTTTCCGCCTGCTGTGTCTCCCGCACCGGGACGTTACTGTTAAATATTCCTCACAGTTCATCTTTGCCCTCTTCCTGCTCTCTGGTCCCTCCACTTCCTGTTGGTAAAGGGGCAACTCTGTTGATTTACGGCTTGGTGAGTGAGGTAGGTGAAGGTAATTTATAGCCCAGGAACCCTCTGCCCGGTCTGAGCTGGACAGGACAGTCTATTTATACTCTTTGACAGGGGTGTCTGGGGAGCAGTGAAAGTAGCAGTGAGGAGAAAGGAGAGGAATACCACACGACTATGTTTGGACCACAATGGCAGCTGGGTTGCTCGCAAGTATTGGTTCAAATGTGTGTGGCGCTGGGACATTTGACTCTCAATGCTAATATATAGCTGCTCAGGAGAAGATAATGTCACAGAGCAACAGCTTCTAAATTATGTATCTTGTCTTCTCTTGTCTTGTCTTGTCTTATCTTCTTCTTTGTCTATCGATCAATTGTTCAATCTAGTATTCTATACATTGTTCTGTCTAACGTTTATTCTTTCTATTGTTCTATCTGTATATCATTCTGTCATTCAGTTTATTGCTGTCTGTTGCTCTGTTCTATGTATCATTCAATCAATCGCTCTATCTATCTGGCTATATCTATCGTTCTATCTGTCCACTGTTCTGTCTACTGTTCTATCTATTGTTCTATCTATCTATCTATCTATCTATCTATCTATCTGTCTGTCTGTCTCTCTGTCTGTCTGTCTGTCTATCATTCTTTTGTTCTACGTATCGTTCTATCTATCATCATTACATATAGACATATATTCCTTGAAAATGTCTCAAACTGTGCATTGAAATGTCAAACTGAAATCTCATTATGAAGTCAAGCATTTCCAATCAGATTGTTCAGTCAAAATGATCTGGGCTGTTCTGTCCACTTTAATTTTATAGATCTGTGCTCTTACCGTATGTCAGCAGTTGTCTTATTTGTTTCCACTGAATTGTAGGAGAATCATCTGAGACAAAGTTGATACTGAAATGAAACAACTGAAAATTCCATAAAGTCTAAGCAGTAACATTTTCCTCTGAGAAAGTGTTGGTGTGATAGTGTTTTCATGCAGTGTGTAGTTTAGTGTGACTTTGAAAGCTTTGAGGAATAAGAAGACACTGCTCTGAAATCAGTGCTGGCTCATCAAGTTGGTTATTTTTGGCTGTGCACAAAAGAAACACAGACCCTTGACTGAATGGCCGAGTCTAATGTAATGACTCTGTCTAATCAGTTTTATTTTCAGTGTTTGTTTGTCTGTGATGTCCTATGTCTCTTCTGTCTGCATGTAGGAGTCTCCTCAGGTCCTGTCTCCCTGGTCTGAATCTATGACCCAGCTAATGAAGAGATTAGATCAGCTCAATCTGTACATAGAGGAAGCTCTCAGCGCTGGCTCTTCCCCCTCCCACACACCCAACACCACCCGGAGACACACCACTAATGACAGAGCATCCCTGCAGGTCATTCTCACATTGTTTCTCGTTAAATATAATGTACATAGTTTGTTGATCAGTAATCATTTGATGGAAAATATGTTGCCTTAGCTTCTTTGAAATGCGCATAATCTTTTTAGCTTCTGGATTTTATCCAAATCATATCTGATCAATCGTCTATTCTATTCTATTCTATTCTATTTTTTTATATCTAATATATACACACACACACACACACACACACACACACACATGTGACTCTCTCTGTGAAATCCAGGCTAAAGTCTCAAAACCTAATTATGAGATAACAAGCATCAAAGTTTGATTTCAACCATTAATTTCACTATAATTTCAATCTTTGACATGGCCTTACTCAGTCAATATTATTAAGAGACCTTTTAAATATATAAAGGTTACATTTTCACAGAACGTTCTTTACCTTATGAAGGATGATTTTATGTAGAAAACAGTAAATCACACAAAAAAAAAGACTTTAGCTGGGTTTTCACAGAGAGGGTCACATATACACACACACACACACACACACACTTGCTTAATGTGCTAGTGCATGGCGTCTGTCTGTGACATGGGTTAGATAGAATGTGCTGCATGCTGGCAGAGACTAGACCAGACTGGTTACACTGACACAGAGCTCTATTGTATTGGGTGCTTGCCATGGGGAACTTTCAATGCTGTTTCAAAAAAAAAAAAAGCTCATACAAACTTGCAACATAACCACCCTGTAGCAAGGGTTCACAGCAAGAGACAAAAGTTCCTTTTGGTTCCTCAAGACAACGATGTCTTGTACTTGCGGTCTGTTTCTATCACTATGTCCTTTAGAGATAGTTAGCGGAAAGACATGATGGTTTCAGAGCCCTCACGACACCCATTCCTGGTTTTTATCATGAGATGAGATTTACGGTTGCATGTTACTCTGGACAAGGTCATCATTTTTCCCTCAAGTCCTTCCATTTTCAGTAGTTTTTGTGCTCTTTAAAATGTTCTGTTGAGATTGTGTCTGCCTGTGTTTCTCTAGCAACTGATCACTTCTCATAGTCATCTCCAGAGGTCATCCGTTCCAGACAAAGTGTGTCCCATCCCATGCTAAAAGCTGTTGTACTGTCATTTCAGAGTGGAGCTGTAGGGGTGAACCAGTCCCTCAACTTGAACAACATGGCTAGAAGAAACGACACGAGGGAACGGCATGGCCAAGAGAGACATGCGGGAGCCACTTCCTCTCAGGGGAGATCACATGGTAAAAAGACAGAGGTGAGCATTTGAACTTACTCTTATATGATTTTTGTTTGTGTCGTATTGAATTGTTTAGTTTGTGGTTAGTAGCTGTCAATTTTAAAATATACAATGCCTATATACTGTAATTATATTATTATATTTTCTTATTAATATAATTAAATTCATAAATTGAACTGTGTCCAAAAGTATCCAAATATTTTATTAATGTTACTGATTTATAACTCAGGATTCTTGTATTGTTGGTATTTGGTTTAGTTTCGACTAAGAGTTGATCAGTATGTAGACCATGTGATCAGTGGCTTAGCTTTGCTCTGTGATGTGTTTCCTAATGAACACGCTGTGTGTCAGTGACCAGGGCATGCGTCCATTCTGAGAAGTCTCTGGGGTTGAGGTTGATGTCCTGGGACTGCATTTCTAATGGGTTTTCTGCATTAGCGGGACCAAGTTAAATAGATTTTCCTTTGCTAATCCAAACAGGATCCCTCCTTAGTCTGGGGAATTGAATTAATGAATTCAGAGCCACACCAAAGGAACTCTTTTAGTGGGCCATTTAAGGCCATCACATCTTGTTTGGATTTCAAACCAGTGTAGCTTAGTTTAACCAGTGATTTTTAAACATCTAAAACAGGTTTTATAATGATATTTTTGATAGTTGTTTCAATGTAAATGCACCATCCTTTTCCAAAATATAAGGAATTATTCAAAAAGTTTGGAATTATCAAGATATTTAATGTTTTAAAATTAAGTCCTCTATACTTATCAAGCATTTATTTGATCAAAATTTTAGTAATATTGTGAAATATTATTGCAGTTTAAAACAACTGTTTTCCATTTTATTATATTTAAAGGTCTTGCATTCTTCGGTTTTGATTGGTCGAGACCTCAGGTTTACTACATAAACGTTAAAGTATGCAGTTTTTCTGTTGTGAAGGTAAGGGTTTAGTTTCTAGTTGTATCTTTTAAACATTTGGAGTTTGTTTGCAACCGGACAAGGCATTTTTGGAGAGACTGTGCGTGTCCTGCTGTTTAAAGGAAGCACAGAGAGACTTGACAACTGAGCGATTTACGAGTTTGGGGCTCACTTGAAAGATACTGAAAGGAATGTTCTATCATTCTGGAAACGAATCCGACATGCAAAGGATGGGAAAGAAGCCTCTTCACGGTCGATTGCCGCCGCTGATTTACAGCTGTTTGAGTCCGGTTTCAGATCGTCCGCAATTTATGCTGGACTTCATGGACTTTTGTCTCAAGCCACCCTGGCCTGCAAAGACAGAGAAAAAGCAAACAATCGCCAGCTCTTCCTTTTAGCTCATCATGAATATATTTCATTTCAAAGGAACGCACTCTCTTGCATTGTTCCACAACAATATCCGATGGGCAACAGTGGGTTTAAATGAGCACAGTATCTGTGGGAATCCGGTCCTTTTCTGTCCGGCTGGAGAACTGGGCCAGATGTGTTTGTTTAATCTCCGCACTGGTACGTTCTGCGGTCCGTGTTTGGGAACCCCGCTAAAGGCCTCTGGCAGGGATCTGGGATGTGATGGTGTTTGTTAGATTGTGTGAGAGCGCAGGAGAGGGAGAGTTGGATTGGATTGGAGGGGGTAATAGAATGATTTGGCTTTGTGCACTGTGACAAAATGAAGTCTTGAGGTTCTTGGAGAAGATTAGCAGGTCAAAAGCTCCAGAGGCATGTGGAGGCCTTCGGTCCGCTGGAATGAATGTAGGCCACCCTCGAGTAGATGAAAAATCCAAACTCTGAAAGCTCCATTGGCATTTTACCAACTGTCTTCTAACATTAACACAATTTGTGATTCTCACCAAGCCTGCGGTCCTCGTTCACCTCTTGTTGTTGTGAAGAAGGTGTTCCTGCGGTCACACACATCTGCTGCCTGGTCTTGAAGGTCTCATCTGATCTCAATTAAAAAGAGACAAACTGTGGCAAAAAGAAGAATTGACTTTCTTTTAATTCATGATTTGGAACTTGAATTGTGAGGAAGAGGAATTTATATATGTGTAACACTTATGTCATTTATACTTTAATATTTAGTTTTTATTTTAATGTGTATTGTACATGTATATAATTAAATTTGAGTTACATTATTGTTATATAATAAATTTAGATGATAAATCTTTGTATATATAGGTATTTTATATAGTTATAAAAATTTTTGTATAATATGTTATATACATATAAAATATAACATAAAACATATATTGTTTATTATTAGCTATAATATCTAATATGTGCTGTGTATATATATATATATAATTTATTTATGCAAATTCTTCTTGACCATTCTAATCAAATTACATATTTTCTTAGTTATGTATTTATTATATAAGAAGTTTAGATTTGTTTTTATAAAAGTTTATATACTGTATATATATGCATGTTATATAGTTATATAATTTTTGGTGTAATATATGTATGTATGTATTTATGTATAAATTCTTCCTCCTGACAATTCAAATTAAAATCTTTTATGGTCCTTAACATTTTAATTATTTTTAACATAAATTTATAAATAATAATAGTTGATTATATACAAATCAAATTGAGATGAATAATATTAATACTTATAATAATACTTACAATAGCAACAATAATAGCAATAGTACTTTTTGCCATTTTTATTAGTTTTTTTTTATATATATATGTCTATATATTTTTTTATTAGTGTTTATTTGAGTTTTAGTTATTTTAGTACATCAAGTTAAACAAAATGAAACTGTGAAAAGTGTGAAAAGTTGCCTTTGGCAAAAAAAAAAAAAAAAAAAAAAAAGAAACGTTTACATGGTTTTTATATATTTTTTAAAATATTTTTTCAGTAAACTTTTTTTTAAAGTATTTTAATAGTTTTTTTCTGTTCTGGCAAGAATGTACACTGTTATTTATTTTTATTTTTTTATTTTTTATTTCAATTTAGTCTGCATCCTCAGTTGAAATGTGATTCAAATTCAAAAGCTAGACATATCAGCTACTTTAAAACTGTTCATGAATCAACATTGAGAGTATGTTTATGTTGACATAGTGTTACGAGGAAGCTGTACGTCATAAAATGACTCACAAGGATCCGGGCCAAAGTAGCCCGTCTGTTTATTAGTGCTATAATATCAACCACTGTGAAAGAGGTTGTTTCAGTCAATCACGTCACTACTTCGCCGCACCATGGTTGACGCCGTCATTAAATCTTTAAAGAAAACACACAGATCAAAATGCTTGTTAACTTGGAACCAGCTTTTATTTAAGATGTTGTAAGCCCCTGTTTTAATGTAGCTTCCTTACTGTAAAGAACCCACTGTGGAAGCACCAAACTTGCTCTGTCCGCATCATTTTAAAGGGATAGTTCACCTAAAAAGAAAATTCTGTAATAATTTACTCACCCTTAAGTCATTCCAATCCCTAGTGACTTTCTTGGCTCTGTGAAACACAAGCAAGATGTTCTGAAAAATGTTTTTTTTTTGTTTTCCATACAATGAAAGTCAGAGGGTTCCAAAGTTGTTTTCATTTTTAGATGAACTATCACTTTAATGCTGGCTCTCCAACTCCCTGCGGGGTCCTCGGTTGGGGCAGGAGAGGGGAGCTAAGCGGCTCAATAGGATGAAGATAGATTACAGGGCCAAGTGCAACTCAGGAGGCCAGGATTTGTTCTGCTCCAGCAGAGGTTAAGCTTCAGTTTGGGACATTGGGTGAGGAGCACCCCTGCAAAGTATCAAAATACAGCTGGGTTGAGAGGTCAATGCCGTTTTGCTCTTTTTTTCCCCTCTCGCTTTTGTGGGATATTTTTAATTCCTTATGAATATGCAATTAAAAAAAAAAAATAATTAACTGTGAGAACTTTTTAATGTCTGACTTAAAGGGATATTTCACCTAAAAATGGAAATTCTGTTATCATTTATTCATGTCGCTCCAAACCTGTATTATATTTATTTTGTTGAAGTTTAGCAGAATACACCGAATGCTTGGAACAACATGAGGTTGTGTAAATTAGTGAATTTTAATTTTTGGGTGAAATATTTTTTAACTAGATATATTATACTAGTTATTGTGCGATCTGTTTTCAATTCTCTACATTGCATACATTATAATGACAGTATCAACATTCTTTAGACATGTGGCCTCACTTACACTCATCGAAAACAATCATAACATCCTTCTCAAAGATTCCCAAAACATTTGCTCATCATGGTTTTTAAAAATAGCAGTATGTATGCTGTCAGCATGCAAGTTCACATTTCCTGTGACACTGGAGGCAGAAAATAGAATGCTTTGTGTAAACAGCATCCAGTGACCTGTGAGAAAGTTGATCTGCCTGCTATCATTCAGAGGTTACAGCTCCATTTGATTAGTTATAAAATGTAATTTGACACTCATCTACCCATTGTTATGAACATACTATGCTATAAATATACCAAACTTACATATATCAGTGTTATTATCGTGAACTGAAATTAAAACTATATAAAAAAATAAAAAATAAATTAAAATACTGGTTAACTCAAATAAAATAAAATATTGAAAAAGTAAACTTAATTTTTTCCCAGGCCAAGGTAGCTTTTTTATATATATTTTCATTTAGTTTAACTTGATGTGCTAACATAATTAAAACTGAAATAAAAATTAAAGTAGAAATATGAAAAAAGTAATAAAAATACCAAAAACACACCACTACATTACTAAAACTTTAAATTTAAAATTGAAACTAATTCAAAATATTAATAAAAAGTATAATATAATATATAATATATATATATATGAATTAATAATATATTTTATGTGTATTGACATATATATTTATTCTTGTCAATTTTGTAATGGTATGTAATCTTTCCTTTTTTTCAAATCAGTTAACTTTGAATGGTCGTCAATGGAGAAAAATGCTTTTGGCCACAGATGGTGAATAGTTACAACATCTACCAGCAGGGGCTAACTCGGAAAACCTCAACCCATTTGGCACGATGCCCATCTTTTTGCACTTCCTGTTGGCCAGACTGTTACGTGTGGAACCTGTGCA